GGGGGGGGGGGGCTCCCGAGCGCCAGTCAGTCGTCAGAGCCCCACAGGGCCCCAGTACCCGAGCAGCTCTCGCCGCGTACGGTTGATGTTGCCGCTGGTGTTGCGTCGTCCAGTCTTTTGACCGCCACCGTGTGCCGAGAGGCGGTGTGAGTGTGAGCGAGAGAGAGAGAGTGAGATAGTGAGCAAGACGAAGTGTGAGCGAGCGAGTGGGAGAGTGCACGCCGCGCTAGACCAGCTCCCTCCCGGATGGCAGGCGTCGAGACGCGCTGCCTGGAGCAGCGGTGAAGACGGTTGAGGGAGAAGTTTTCATTATTGTCCAGAACTACCAGCTGCGCTCAGCTGCGCTCAGCTGCGCTGTGTGGTCGTGTTGTGAGCCGCGCGGAGTGTTGGTGCGTCAGTGTGAGAGTTCCGCGCAGCCGTGTGTGTGAGTGTGTTGCCTCTCTGGATTTACGGTTTCATTCACCTCTTGGATTACTCGCCGCTCTGGAGAAACAGGTGAGTGTCTGCCGAGCGGTGTTTGGGCCTGCAGCTCGAACGCTATCTTTATATTGGCCATTCATGGCGAACGAATTGTAAGCAGCGACAAGTCGCGTCGTTGTATTATCCCAGGTTCATTTCCTTAAGTCTGAACTTTGACGGAGGCTAACGCTCACCCGCATGTGTGGCTGCTGGTCGTGCCTTTCGGTTTTAGTTCAACATGAGAGATTTACTTAATATCAAAAAGAAAACGAACAATAATTGCCAACGACAATGTTAAGCCACTAGTACCGTGATCATTGATGTGTATTCAACAGACGTGACCACTATGCGGGACCCTGCAGAAGCGACATCTCTTCTTAGATTAGTAGCGTATTTCCACGATCTGATCAATATCAGAAATAGCGCGCATCTACTAACCGAGCAGCGTTGAGCTGCGACTTATCGCACTGCTTCTCCCGAGTAAGACCGCCTGGCACTGCGGCTCGCGGGCTGGACTGCGAACAATGCCCCGCAGCTTGGCTGGGGATAAAGAGGCGCATGAACGGACGATTTGCCCGCCACAAAAACAGCAAGAGGCCGAACAGGCCGGTCGCATGGGGGTGGCGCTTAGAAACCTATACCGCGCTACTCCTCGTGTTTATAAAATGTAAAACTACTTGTGTCAAACTGTGTGCACACAGAACGTAAAATATTGTCCACTGCCATGCGGTGTCATATTGTGGGCTGTGTCATGTCACAGGTGGCGCGCATGACCAGGCACGGCCCCCCGGCTGGGCCTTGCTAGGGCCTAAGTGTCCCCCAGAAGCCAAAACGTGCGAGGCGCACGAAGCGTCCTCGAGCTGCCACTCAGTGACAAATTAACTGCGTCACATGTGGCAAGTAGTTAATCTGATATCAGATCACATAATAATAGACTGGAAACGCAAGGCGTTTGAATGTCGCACACTTGTAGGTGCGAAATTCTAATTCGCACCTTTGCACATGTGTAGAGTAAATTTTCTTGAAATTTCGCACTTTGCACACTTGCACAAAAAAGGCTCACCTGCATGTGAACGAATGGAAATCCACACTCCTTCAAGTGTGCAACATTTTCACACTTTGGTTTCCTATGTAGACTAACGTTCTGGTTATCGACCGCTATTATTCGTTCAAACGGGAGTGTCTGTTCGATCGTTTCCAACGGCGCAGTGCGCAACTTGTGTGAATCTGAGGAGCTTCACGTGAGTGCCTTTGCCTCTGGCAGCACCCCCTCTCCTGTCCCCGCATCCTCGAGGACACGTCGTGGACAATCTGCTTCAGCAGGTGGCTGCTCTCTGCGGCGTTGCGTAGCGCCCTCCTGCAGTCGTTTTTATTCAAACTACTTCGTCAATCTGGTGGAAAAAGGTTTTCACAAGGTCGCAGCCTGGCGGTGCTTCTCCGTCATCTCGCGCTGTTTGTGTGTTTGTTGTGTGTCTGGCGCGAAGGAGAGGAGGGAGGTGGGTAAGGGGGTAGGGTATTAGGCATGCCACGGACTGCCCTTGCGAAGCCGAACTTTCCGTCGGGGTCACTATCTATTGTAAATGCCTTCACAAACTTGAGTTTGTATACAACATGGAGAAACACGACATGAACCTGCCTGCTGTCGAGGAGCTGTCGACGAGCAGCTGTTTCCTCAGTTTTCGCCTGCGCCTCTCTTCCGTTTCGGCCCCGGACGCGACAGGCTCCTTCCCCCGGGGTTGCCGACGACGTCGACGCCGCCGTGGAGCTTGACGACGGCAGTGAATGACAAACGGCGCGTCTCCCGGCCGCGACCCTGACGGTCGTCATCCGCGGGACCAAAAGTGAGCGGAGCGCGAGGATGAGAAGGGGGGGGGGGGGCAGCTGGGCAGCAGGACGATGCAGTAGTGGCTCTAGTGGTTCTAAACCATGAGCTACTTGGCCGCCCGCACCTCGCACAGTCCCGGGCCCATAACCTACTGACGGACGCGACGGCGACGACCTACGGCCTCCTCCAGGTCCAGGCCGCCGCTGGGCCGATTGTTCTTTTCGCAACAGATGGCACCACTGCACTACCAGGAAGCCCGCCTCTGCCGGCTGCCTGCCGGGGCCGCGCGCGACTGCAGGCTGCAGGCTGCAGGTGACCCCGCGAGAACCGAGACCAAGCAGAGACATAACCGCGAGCCAAGCCGCCCCGCAGAGTGTCGCCACAGAGTGGCCGCACGGCGCAGCGGCACGCGCCCTCCTGGGGACGGTGAAGTGACGGACCTTGTTTGAGGAGGAGATGCTTACTGAGGTTTCGTTTGTATGAGCCTGTGTATCCTGTGACTTATACGGTCCGACTTATATACGGGACGTATGCATCATGCATGAGTCGGAATTGTATAGGATTTTGTATGTGAATTGGATGAAGTTTATGCACGCCGTGCTACAAATATGACGTCAACAATGGATTCTCATGGCATACAAAGAAAATACCTTTGTGACTCTTGCGGTGATAGACTATGCGTGCGATGATAAGGTATAAGCAATGTTGTTGATAGATCACAACAATATTTTTGATAGCCAATTTACTTTTGTCATCAACTATAACGTTTTGTCGATAACAACCGAAGAAATTTGTTCGTACCGATTAACAATATTGTTGTTACCTTACCCTTGAACCAAATTTGTTTATAGCAAGTAACGGAAACCTCGGTAAGGAGAGTGCTTCTCACGATTATTATCCCAGTGATGGCAGTTAGTTTCCTTGATGTTTGCTTCGCCAAGCGGCTGCCACCCACACTCCTCTGTCACACTCTGGAGCGCCGCGGCGCACATCCCACGATGCGCGGCGGGCGCGGCGGGGCTCGGCTCCTCGGCTCGCGCCCAGAGCAACTATAGCCTAGTTACTCACTCCGACCTTGATATTGTATGCAGTCACCTAGGCGAGCCCAGCCGCCCAGCCGCGCGCCGCTCAAGCAGGTTTCTTCCCCCCCACCCCGACTCCCATCTCGCTGGTCTCCTACCCTTCTCTTTGCTCTCCCCTTCCTCGCTGGATCAGTGTATAGTGCCCAGCTGCTTTATTTTTTCTTGTGTGTGTGTATGTGTGAATGTGTGTGTGTTTCTGCGCAGCTCATTCAGTTCGCAGCCCGCTGAGCATGTTGCAAGCTCAATGTATGCGTTGCGTGTGAAGATATGGCGCGGTATACGTTGTTCGCTTCGCCCCGCCCCGCCCTGAGGTGCATATTTCACCTGCCGGCGCGGCTCGGCGGGGCCTGACTTTGTGTAGAGCATCACACCCTCAGCCCCGCTGTCCCGCTCGCAGGGCAGGGCAGCACCAACTGCAGCACGCCTAGCCCCGGCCCAGCCCGCCACGGACGGAGTCGTTGACATTGCTAAGGGAAAGTGTTTTGGACACAACGCGTTGAAGAGGGGCGGGGCCGGCGCGGCGGGGGCCTGGTGGGCCCGGGGCTCCCGGGGAAGAGGCAGTGAAATATTTCGCTGAGAACTCATGTTCCAGCCGCATAATTAGAGAACACGCTGGCAATCACGTGCGACAGTATAAGATACGTGATGTTTAACCTCGTGTTTAACTTTCATGTTTTTGCCGGTGTTTTGTTTGTTTTGTTAATGATCATTGTTTTTTCAATTTTTGGGGGATCATTACTGCTCACTGTACGCTTTCAATTGTCTAATTCGTGGTATGTAATACGTAGAGAAATAAAATAGATAATTGTGTTCCTATAAAATCGTCAATAACCAAGTGATGGTGCGGTACTGCACGCTAGTGGACATGGACACATCCCGACACCCCCCCCCCCTCCCTCCAGAGCTACTCGGCAAGGCGGCAGGTGATTCGATGTCACTCTCCCGACCCCACCAATGCCCCATACGCACATGAGAGATTCGAGCCTTGCTGGTTGAGAGGGTCACAGGCTCGGTCACAGGCCCACGCGCTGCACGCACTCCGAGCTCGCCAGGCGGGTCCCAGGAGGGAGATCACGTGCAGCAATTATGCAGCATTTGAAACGCTCGTGTGTGTGTGTGTGTGTGTGTGTGTGTGTGTGTGTGTGTGTGTTTTGAGTTGTGCGTTGCAGTTCGCAGTGCAGTAATGTGTGTACGCCCGCCCACGCACGCGCCGATTGAAGTGATAAGTAGGGCATTGCTTTGCTACCCGCTGAAACGTTCCGTCCGCAGAAACTTTGGTTTTTAGTGTGCTTCGCATTGCGGCGCTGCTGGTTCAGCCAGCGTAGTACACCTTGCCGCCCTGCCTCAGCCTCGGCCTCAGCCTGCTCGAGGAAGTCCTGGCCGCCCGCCGCGCCGAGGCCATGGCGGAGGCCCGCGCCGCCTGCGTCCTTGAAGACGTGTCGCCGTAGCGGTCCGACCGGCCCCTCGACTCGGCCCCTCGGCCCGGCCTGGCCCCGCGGCTCTGCGCTGCGACTGCTATCGCCTCGCCATGTGGCGGCTGACCGTTACCGTGTCGCCAGCCCCGCCACGCCCCACCACGCCCCACCACGCCCCGCCACGCACTCTGAACGCCAGGCAGCCCAGAGTGGTCGGAAGCAAAGCAGAGACAAAACGTCAATATTTGAAGCGTGCGTCTTTGGCATGGAGCCACACACTGCCAAATTCTTGCAAAGAATTTTGAAGCATTTTAAGGAAGTTTGCATTACAATCTATTTTCTTTGCATTGCAAACTTTTTCTTAAGTTACGAAGAACTAATTATTTGCAGCTTTACGAACAATTTTCTTCGTGAGGTGCGAAGAATTAGTTCGCAATTTAAGAGATTTAATTCGGAATGCAAAGAATTTTACAACGCTTGCAGTGCTAAGTATAGCTCTTCGCAAGCTTTTTCAGTGCAAACGAGAAGATATTTCAGTGTGACGATGCAATGCGTGAGACACAAAATTATTGAACTATTGTCTCCACGGAATTTCCAGTTTTGCGTTCACAAGAAGTCTGCACAGAAGTAGTTCGTCTCAGCTCATTGGTTTGGTTCTCAATTCTAGCCCTC